ATTTAATAAATATTCATTGTCTCTAATATGCCAAGCATTACATTTAGCATAAAAGACAGTAATGGACAAGATGGACAAATAAAATGCCTACTCTTTTGGAGTTTCCATTCCGGGGTGTATCTATGTAAGTGATATGTGTTGAGGGTAGCTTACATTTTAATAGGCACGTGTGCTTCCAACCAAGCAAGCACAATTCTCAGAAGTGCTTTGATGGAAATAAAGCAGTATGATCTATTTAATAGTCAGTGACTGGAGGTGGTGATTGTGAGGCCTCTCACAATATTGTAAGACTTGAGCAAGCAAGGGTAGGGTTGGGAAGGGGAGATCTGGGGAAATTAGGGTAGGAAGAAGGCAGCCAAAGAGCTGGGGGCCAAGTGTTCACAACCAAAGAAAAGGAAAATGCAGAGGCCCTGGGGTGAGAAGGACCATGGTGTCTGAGGAACAGAAAGATGGCCAAGAGGTGAAGCTGGAGACGGACAGGGGCCAGATCACGGGGATTTGAAGGCAGTAGGATGGAGTTTGGATTTCATTTGTTCAATCAATCCATTCATCTACGCATCTGGCAAGTGTGAAATGCTTCCTCTGCACCAGGCACTGTGTTATGAGTTAGGGATACTGCAAAGAAGCACCAACGTGTGTTCTCTGTCTGTGCTCTACCAGGGGAACTGTCAGGGTATCTGGAAAAAATCATGCTCTTTTGAGATATTTAAATAAAAATGACTTATACCCCTATCAAGTACCCTCTCCAAGAGCCTCTCAGGAGACCAATCTTGTGGTTCCGTCTCCAAGTTCCTGCCCATGAAGAATTCTCTCCATTTACCTTGCTCGGGACTATCCTTGACCTTGATCCATCCTCATCCTCCAAGATCACTCATACAAAGCACCTGTGGGTGTGTGAGACTTCCCTAAAAGTTGTACTGGCATATGAGTTTTATATTACAATGCAAAGAATTTAAAATTAAATATTGTGTATCATATTTTAGGTTCTGATTCTCCCCACCACCTGGCCTTCCTCACTGATCACTTCTCACTGAAACTGGCTTTGCAAAATTATAACTGAGAAAATTGTTACAGTGAAAGAAATCAGACCTAACCGACTCTATCTTGCTTAAGCTGCCCTTTTCCATTCCTGGGTGTAGGCCGAACTAACTTTGGGAAGGAATTCAGTTCATGGTTTGACGCTGAAACAAAATTGACAACAGCCCTTTCCTGAAAAGACGCCTTCTTGCCTGGGGACCAGTCTGCCTTTGTAGGACTCACAAAGTAGCTACAAGATGAGAAATTACAGTTTAGGATCATGCAGCCTCTGGTTCCCAGAGTCTGACCCTCCCCAGATTGCTCCTGGGGGTAACGTCACTACTGTAAAACCTAAAATCAGTGCTTGAGATATTTTGCATACATTGCCCTGGATGGATCAGCTGACACCACCCAGATAATCTGGCCCAACCAGTTCTGCCATCTCACCCAGGAACAGAAGACATTAAGAAAACCTCTGCCGGCCGGGCGTGGTGGCTCACGCCTGTAATCCCAGCACTTTGGGAGGCCGAGGTGGGTGGATCACAAGGTCAGGAATTCAAGACCAGCCTGGTCAACATGATGAAACCCCGTCTCTACTAAAAATACAAAAATTAGCTGGGCGCAGTGGCAGGCACCTGTAATCCCAGCTACTCAGGAGGCTGAGGCAGAAGAATCACTTGAACCTATGGGGTGCAGTGAGCCGGCACTCCAGCCTGGGTCACAGAGAGAGGGTCCTTCTGAAAAAAAGAAAGAAAGAGAGAAAGAGAGGAAGGAAGGAAGGAGGGAGAGAGGGAGGGAGGGAGGGAGGGAAGAAAATCTCACTTTGACGTCCTGTGATTCCATTTCCAACCTGACCAATCAGTACTCCCCACTTCCCAAGTCCCTACCCACCAAACTATCTTTAAAAACTCTGATCCTCGAATGCTCAGAGACTGATTTGAGTAATAATAAAACTCTGGTCTCCTGCACAGCCGGCGCTGCGTGAATTACTCTTTCACTATTGCAATTCCCCTGTCTTGATAAATCAGCTCTGTCTAGGCAGCAGGCAAGGTGAACCCATTGGGCGGTTACATCACGACAGTCCAGCCATCCCACACGTTGCCAGGCCCCCTTGCTTTAGAGACCCTGCTCACTTGCTTGAGCGGATCTGTGTGGCTCTCCATACCCTTGGCTCGGAACCCTCTCATGGATGGGCTTCTACTCTACCTGCCTGGGGTCTCACCATTCAGTGGCTTAGAACTAGAGAACGTGGAAATGACAATCTTACTTTCCTCCTCTCACCAGGCTCTTGAAGTGGGAAGAAACAGTATCTTACACTCAGCCCAGTGCCTTGCACATGGTAGGTGTTCGGTAAATATTTGCTGAACAAATATCAGATGGGTAAGGATTTTCCCCTAGGCTTGAAATGATTCCTCCTCCCTTCCTTGAAGGCAGAGTAGCTAGAATCAGTTTTGATTTTTCTTATTGTTATTATTATTTATCTACTACACAAATACCTAGGCTGTTACAATATGATGTGTTGTGTTGGGATGAGGGTAAGTGAGAGGGGGCTCTGGCCGGCCTGGTAGGAGGCCCAGCAGGGGCCCCAAAGAATTATCCAATGAAGAAGGTGGGACAGTAATCTTTGGAAGAGAGAGAGTAGTGTATTCAAAGTCCTGATAGCAAGAAAGGGCGTATCTGGTTGCAAGTTAGGTGGGGCAGGAGGGAAAGAGTGGGGGTTTGGGCTGTAGTGGGAAAAGGTCACTCAGGGACAGATCCAGCAGCCTAATAAGTCTTGCAGAGAAGTCTGCACTCAATCCTGTAAGCAATGGGTAACATCAAAGGATTTTAAAAGGAACATGCCTTTTGCTTTGGCTCATGTATTTTCTTCTGTCTGTGAGGCACCTCCCTACCCCAAACCCTGCTTTCTCAAGTCCTATAACTGTGCCTGATCCTCAAGCCTGCCATGAGTGAACTCTGCTCTAAGAAGACACCCCGATTGCCCTGTGCTCTGCAAAGCCCCAGTCTGAAACACCTGTCTTCTCACCTCTCCCATAATTTGGATGGACTCACTTAAGCCATATATATTTTGCTTTGTTAGGAGAAAGTCAGAACAGAGTAATAGTGAAGAGTGAAGGTCCTGAAGTCAGGCTGCCTGGGCCCGTTGCTTACCGGGTATATGATTTGGGACAGGGCACTTTTGCTTATCTGAAAAATGGAGATAAACACCGGACCTACCTCAGCTGGGCACAGTGGCTCACGCCTGTAATCCCAGCACTTCAGCAGGCTGAGATGGGCAGGTCACTTGAGGTCGGGAGCTCGAGACCAGGCTGGCAAACATGGTGAAACTCCATCTCTACTAAAAATACAAAAATTAGCCAGGCGTGGTGGCGGGCACCTGTAATTCCAGCTACTGGGGAGGCTGAGGCACAAGAATCACTTGAACCTGGGAGGTGGAGGTTGCAGTGAGCTAAGATCTCGCCACTGCCCTCCAACAGCCTGGGTGACAGAGTGAGGCTCTGTGAGAGGAAAAAAAAAAAAAAAAAAAAAAAGAAAAGGAAAGAAAATTGGACCTACCTCATATGATTGTAGTGCAATTAAATGTATTAAATATACATAAAACACCCAGCATGGTGTCTGGCACGAATCAAAGATTCAGTGAGGGCCATTCTTTTATTTGCCTGTCTCTGTTACTGAACGATGAGCTCTTTGCAGGCTGGGATTGCGACTCATGGTTTGCTATGCCCTTGGCCCCTAGCACAGGTCCCAGCAGAGTGGGTGTTCAGTCACTGATTCTGCTGTCTTTTGGGGTTTGGATGTGCCCTTGAGAAGCAGCCCTGCAGCTCCTTATTAACTCTTCCATAAGAAAACATATAGGTTCGAGTTTTGCTGTCACCATGTGACTTACCCAAGCTACTTCTCTCTTGGCCTCAGGCTTCTTCATTGCGAAAATAACAACATCTGCTTCCTAGAGTGACTGGCTTTTTTCCCTCAGGACTGGAATGTGGATGTGGAGCTGTAGTGACTGCAGCTACCTGTGGCCCCAGTGAGAGGACATGGGGGCACGGAGGGCTGGGAGCATGGGAAGCGCGGGCAAGAGGGAGAGTGGGAATGAAGCCAGCACTGCAGGGCGACGTCAGATGGAGGGAAACAGTTCTGCTGATATCTTTGGTACCCTGAATCCAGCTGTAGCAGCAAGCAGCTCTTATCCCAGACTTCTCAGCTACACGCAGCAATAAATACCCCTTTTGGCTTAAATTAGTTTGAGTTGGGTCTCCTGGCACTTACCAGAAGCCCTTCTTCCTTCCCTACACTCAGGGATCTGTGTTCGTTCGTGGCAGCCACAACACTGTTAATTGCCCTCAGAACTGCTAGGCCTCCTTCCTCCTTCCTAACAGAACCTTGTTTTGTTCAGGCAGCAGTGTTCCTGGCCTGAGAAGATGTTGATCCAAGCCTGTCATGATCATCCTTTTCCCTTTTGCCAGAAATTGGTCTGAGGGTAGGCATGTGACCCACTTTTGGCCAATGAGATAGAAAAAGAAGTCTGCTGGGAGCTTCTGGAAAATATCCTGCTCACTGATAAAAGAAGCTAGGTGATAATACCTTTTTATGATTTCCTTCTATTCCCATACAATGTCATATGAGGATGAGATGCCTGGAGCTGCTGCAGCCATCTTGCAACCATGAGGATAGACTGTGACTATGTAAACTTGTCAGAGACATCAGAGAAAAAAATGGAAATATCCTGGGCTCTTTGTGGCATAACAGTTGAAAAAAACAACTCTGTATCTACTTACCTCTAAACTTTTGGTGAAGTTAGAAAACAGCTATTTATATCATTTAAGCCACTATTCATCAGGAAACATTACTTTAAGCCACAGAATTGCTAACTGATGTTGTATATCTAGGTGGTATTACATTTAGTTCCTCATTAAAAGAACCACACGAGGCTAAGAACGTCAGCTCCTTTATTATTATTGTTATTAATTATTTACTGTTATTTCCCCCTAAACAACAGCATAACTCAAATAACAATGACACACACGTCCCTCCCGTATACACAATACCACTAGCCTATCTGTCAGGCTATCTGGCCTTTGCTTGGTTCCTGATGGAGCTGTCTGGAGACAGCTCCCTCTGTAAAAATCCCGACTTAAACATAGGGGACAGAAGAAAATGGGGACCTTGGCCAGATCATAAACTGAGAGGCTCCCAGAGTCCTTAGGGAAGGCTAACTTGGAAACCTTGGGAACATGCTGGAAATATCTGGGCAGAGGGCAGAAGGCACTGTTTGTTTTTATGTGATTGATGGACAAATTCCGTATAGGGATATAAGACCTGTATATCACCCTTTGTAGGCCAGGCATGTGGAAGTACAGTGGGGTTAGCTACTGGATTTCATTAACCAAACCATGCAGCATGGTTTGGGAGCCATGGGAATTGGGAGTCCAGAGTAGGAACCTGGGTAATGGGGGAGGTCCCCAGAGAAAAGTAACCCTTGCATTCACTGCAAGGTAAGATACAACGTGAAATGTTAAGTCCCCTTTTATGTGTTTTGCAACTATAGAATGTGCAACATTTTCATCAAGATAGAAAAGGTAAAGAAAGAAAAACTAGGATTTTGTCCTAACGCAACCAAGCATGGTTTGCCAATTGCGCTATCTTGTGGAAAAATCTACCACTACACTATCCAGGGAATCTGTGGTCAGTCCCCACCCCCGCACCCCCCAACATTTTACTTGCACTAAATCTGAGTTCAGCTAAAGTAATGTACCCTGGAATCAGAGAAGCCCTAGGGTTGGGGACAAAACAAGGATGGGCCAGTACTGGCATCTCAGGTACAGGTGACTTCCTGGCTGTCCTGGGGAAGCTCGTTGTTGAAACTGCTCTCTCCAAATGTTGAGTAAGGAGGGACCTGGGGAGCTTCGATGATCAGTAGACCCTCTGGGGAAAGTGAGGCAAACACTGTCACAGGATCCACCTCTGCAGGAAGCCTAGGAGAAACATATGATTTTATTCATTTATTATTGTTAATATAGCTTAAACATTATTTTATTCACTTGAGAGGAAATATTTTTGATAAGAGCTTAGGCTTTGGGGACATATAATGCTGGGTTTGAAACCTGGCTTTACCCCTTTCTAGCTGTGTGGTCTTGGGAAGATTATTCCATTGCTCTGAGCTTGTTTTCTCATCTGCAAAATGAGGATAATAATATTGAACTTGTAGAGTATTTGAACTTCAGAGTCTGAGTATGCTTTGAAATGGTAAAGTGCTGTTTGAACAGTAGTTCTTAACTTAAAAGAGAGCTGTGGACCACATATTTGGTCCCAGGTTGAAGTCTTCACCTTAATACCCACTACTAACCACAATTACTAGCAGAAATGGCACCACTACCATCCCTTTATAGAGCACAAGTAGGGTGTTATGCATAGCAGGCAACACATTTTCATCTGACGTGTGCTTGCTGCAGAGTGCTTCACTACAAAATGCATTATGGGTGATGCAAGCACTAGGCACCTTGGTGGATAAAAGGGGCCAAGCTGGCCACACGTAGATTTCAGATGGCAACATACTCTATGGTATTCAAATACTCTATGGTATTCAAAATAAGCCTTGATTTTGTTCATAACCTAAGTATCTCTGATGTGGTTTGGCTATGTCCACCCAGATCTCATCTTGAATTGTAGCTCTCACGTGTTGTGGGAGGGGCCTGATGGGAGATAATTGAATCATGGGTGGCTGGCAGTTTCCTCCGTACTGGTCTCATGGTAGTGAATAAGTCTCACGAGATCTGATGGTTTTATAAGATTTTTTGCTTGGTTCTCATTTTCTCTCTTGTCTGCTGCCATGTAAGACGTGCCTTTCACCTTCTGCCATGATTGTGAGGCCTCCCCAGCCACATGGAACTGCGAATCCGTTAAACCTCTTTTTTTTTTTTACGTAGTCTCAGATATGTCTTTATCAGCAGTGTGAAAACAGACTAATACAATCACTTAGCAGATCATTATTATTATTTTCTTCTTCTTCTTCTTCTTCTTTTTTTTTTTTAAAACAGAGTCTCACTGTGTCACCCAGGCAGAAGTGCAGTGATACGATCTTGGCTCACTGCAACTTCTGCCTCCCGGGTTCAAGCAATTCTGCCTCAACCCTCCTGAGTAGCTGGGATTACAGTAACCCACCACTACGCCTGGCTAATTTATGTATTTTTAGTAGACATGGGGTTTCACCATGTTGGCCAGGCTGGTCTTGAATTCCTGATCTCGTGATCCACCCACCTCGGCCTCCCAAAGTGCTGGGATTACAGGCATGAACCACCGAGCCTAGCCAATTATCTTGTTCTTAAAACTCAGTTATAGACAATACCTGGTTGGAGTATTATAAGAGGATGATTAAGAGGTAAGCATTAATATGCCCATTCTACAGATCACAAAACAGAGACTTGGGGGAAATCAGATGAGAAGCTCAATAAGTGAGAAAGCATTGAAGATGGAATTTCTAAACCTAAATCTGGTCCAAGTTCTAATAAGGTTTTTTTTTTTTTTTTTTTTTTTGATGGAGTCTCACTCTGTCGCCCAGGCTGGAGTGCAGCGGCACGATCTCGGCTCATTGCAAGTCCGCCTCCCGGGTTCACACCATTCTCCTGCCTCAGCCTCCCGAGTAGCTGGGACTACAGGCACCCGCCACCACGCCTGGCTAACTTTTTGTACTTTTTAGTAGAGACGGGATTTCACTGTGTTAGCCAGGATAGTCTCGATCTCCTGACCTCATGATCCACCTGCCTCAGCCCTAATAAGGTATTTTTATGATTTTCGGATTGCTTTGAGTGAATGAGACTATTGAGAATTTGGTTTCTTCAACAAACTATTAAAATTGTGAGGACATATAGTGGTCTCATTGGGGTGCCATTATTTTTTTTAATCATGAAATCCATGGCCTTCTGAGTACTTTCTATGTGCCAGGTACTTTAGCTGAATCATATCATTTTGGTGTTAACAATAATCCCACCAGGCAGATTCCATTGCCCTCCCCATCTTACAGATGAGGAAACCGAGGCTCAGAGAAGTGAACTGCTTTGCCCAAGGTCGCTCAGCTGGCAAACGGCAGAAAGGAACTGGAACTGGAATCCTGGTCTCCAAACTCAGAGTACCTGACTGTGATGCTCTCCTGCCTCCCCCAGCACCAGATATTTGAAAGAAGGACTATGGCAGGAAGGCCCAGAAGTTCAATCAAAATCTTTCCACTTGTCCACGTTAGCTCTGCCTATTGTAAATACAAGGGTCTCGATGGAAGAACCAAGGCATGAGGTAAGCCCATTCCTGATCATGGGCAGGACTCCTTCTGGAGGGGCTGGGGAGTCTTTCTTTCACACACTCTCTCTCTCTTTCCCTCTCTCTCTCTCTCTCTTGCTCTCTCTCTCCAGCATCCTGTAGCCACATGAGCCATATCTACCCAGGAGATTCCTTGCCAAATTGGAACCATGGAAATGAACAAGGGTGCTTCTGGGAAGCACATTTGGAAGAAAAAGAGGGAACTAGAAAGCTGCCAAGTCAAGATTTTGAAGCAGAGACAAGGTCAAAAGTTTACAGCTCCCTCCCACTGCTGGGGATGGGCTGACTGTTTAACCATGTGTACACCAACCCAGTGCACACCAGGTACAGTGTGACAGGGTAGCTATGGCCTAGAGCATGGGTTTTGCAGGCAGGCCAACCTGCATTCAAATTCTGACTCTTCCTGACCACAGAGCATGGGGCTGGTGATCTTGCCTCTCTGAACCTATTTCTTTGCAGAAAAAGGGGGGCAATAATAGTATCCACCTCTTAGGGTGGTGTGAGAATTACGTTGCAGTCTTTGGCCTTACATGTTGGCATCTTGACAGCAAGATGGAGTATCATACAAATTGCGGTATCATTGGACCACAGAGTATCAGGGTCCCAAAGGATCTTCCTGATTGCCCATGACAATGGTCTCATATAACTTATGGGGAAACTGAGGCTCAGAGAGATAGACATGCCCAAGGTCTCTCACCAGGTGACTTGCATGTTGAACCCACTTGGTGGGAAGTAATTCCTCTTCATTTCTCTTTCAGTGCTTCTACTTACATCTGAAGCAATGTCTCTGCTAAGTGCTAATATGCCTTTAACGCCTTCAGCCTCTATCACTTGCTACCTTCCCTTTTTAACAATGAAAGAACTGAGGCCCGTAGGCAGGAAATATTATCTAGTTAGAATTTAACCACATTTTGCTTTCATTGGATTTATTTCATGATTGCCTTCCTCAGTGAACATTTTAGTGATGAGAATTTAACTTTATCAAAATGAGTTGATCTAAAAGAAAAAATAAACCTTTAGTAAATCATGGTACAGCAATGTAAGCATATAAGGCAAAAAATAGTGAAGATGGGATGCGAATGACGGTATTGCAAATGACTGTAATTTGGTTTCCCCTAACCAAATAGGAAGGTCATGGACTTTGAAAGTTGAGAGCTGTGCTCAGGTCCCAATCTGCTCTTTTTTAAAAAACAGCTTTATTGAGATATTATTGGCATATAAAACTGTATATATCTATATATACATGGTATACAACTTGATGTTTTGATGTATATATGCATGGTGAATACAGTGATCACCAGAGTCAAGCTAATTAACATATATTTTGTGTATCTGTGTGTGTCGGGAAGATTACATTTAAGTTAAGAAGATTAATTTTGCAACGCTACCTGCAAATTTTGAATATATAATGTAGTATCATAGACTATCATTGCCATGCTGTACATTAGCCCCCCAGAACTTACTTATCTTGCAAAACTGAAACCGTGTACCCTTTGACCAACATCTCCCCATTTCCTCTGACAACCACCACCCTACTCTCTGCTTCTACGAGTTCGACGATTTTAGATTCTTTTTTTTTTTTTTTTTTTTTGAGACGGAGTCTCGCGCTGTCACCCAGGCTGGAGTGCAGTGGCTGGATCTCAGCTCACTGCAAGCTCCGCCTCCCGGGTTCACGCCATTCTCCTGCCTCCGCCTCCCGAGTAGCTGGGACTACAGGCGTCCGCCACCTCGGCCGGCTAGTTTTTTGTATTTTTTAGTAGAGACGGGGTTTCACCGTGTTAACCAGGATGGTCTCGATCTCCTGACCTCGTGATCCGCCCGTCTCGGCCTCCCAAAGTGCTGGGATTACAGGCTTGAGCCACCGCGCCCGGCCGACGACTTTAGATTCTACATATGGTGAGATCATGCAGGATTTCTCTTTTTGTGTCTTTCTTATTTCACTTAGCAGAATGTCCTCACTCCATCCATGCTGTTGCCAGTGGCAGTATTTCCTTCTTTTTTTTCCTCTGTCACCCAGGCTAGAGTGCAGTGGTGTGACCTTGCCTCACTGCAACCTCTGCCTCTGAGTTCAAGTGATTCTCCTGCTTCGGCCTCTCGAGTAGCTGGGATTAGAGGTGTGCACCACCACACCCACCTAATTTTTGTATTTTTAGTAGAGATGGGGTTTCACCATCTCGGCCAGGCTGGTCTCGAACTCCTGGCCTCAAGTGATCTGCCCGCCTCGGCCTCCCAAAGTGCTGGGATTACGGGCATGAGCCACTGCACCCAGCCTCCTTCTATTTTAAGGCTTAATAATACTATATTCCAGATCCGTTCTTTACTCGCTGTGTGACCTTAGTTGAATCCCATTACTCCTCTGAGCTTCAGTCTCTTTACCCACAAGATGGGCTTGATAATACCTATTCAAGGCCAGGCACGGTGGCTCACGCCTGGAATCCCAGCACTTTGGGAGGCCGAGGCGGGCGGATCACCTAAGGTCAGGAGCTTGAGACCAGCCTGGCCCACACGGTGAAACCCCGTCTCTACTAAAAATGCAAAAAAAAATTTAGTTGAGTGTGGTGGCTCATGCCTTTAGTTCCAGCTACTTAGGAGGCTGAGGCAGGAGAATCGCTTGAACCTGGGAGATGGAGGTTTCAGTGAGCTGAGATCGCGCCACTGCACTCCAGCCCGGGTGACAGAGCCAGGCTCCATCTCTAAAAAACAAACAAACAAAACAAAACAAACCTACTCAATAGGATTCTTCTAAAGATTAAATAAAATTAAATCTATAAATCTCTTAGCATGGTTCTGGGCATGTCATAGGTGTCATAAGTGGCAGAACAGGTATCTGGGAAGATGTGGAACCAGGAAAATAAAGTTTGCTTTGGTTCCAGGCATCCTCCCTTGGTAATTTCCTGCACCCTTGTCTTCCTGTTCTCTTATCCAGGTTGAGTGTGGAAAAGAGGCCAGCTGCAGTCCTTGCCCTGCCCCCAGCCTGAGAGGAAACCCAAGACCTCTCCCTCTCCTTATTCAGTCCAAATGGGGCCTTTCACACAGAGATGGATGTGTTGGGATGAATTTCCTTGCCATAGTTAAGGCAAACAGCTATAGCATCCTGCCTGGGTGGAAATCTCCAAGGATCTCAGCCTGGCTGAAGAAATCTCCCTGTCCTCTAATGACCGGAGGTTTCCCTGGGAGAGGAGACAACGAGGCCTCCTGAGATTGGTCCAGAGGTGTCCCAGACTCCAGTTCGACTCCTTGGTGTCTAGAGTCTGGGCAGACCCAGGAGCTCCCAGGAGTCCCAGTTGCTGGAGTGTGAGTCCAGCCTTGTGAAGCCTTTTCATAATATTAATTCCCACGGACCAAGCCCTGAGTCTGTATTCCATGCTTAATGCATTATACATATCATCTCACTCCCATCACAACCCCTCCATGCAGGGATGCAGGGATGCAGGGATGCAGGAATGGAAGGTCAGGGCAGTTAAGCAAGTTTCCCCAAGTTACCCACCCACTTTCTCATGGAGCCAGGACTCCCTGCACCCGGAGCTGAGATTCAAAATATTTAACAACTGGTGCAGCTGGGCACTGACCATTCAGAAGGGATGGGTGCATGTCATAATGATGGAGGAGGGTCCTCGGACCCTTTAGTTGTTGGAAGGTGGAGAGGTTTAGAGGGTCCTGGGGACAGGATCAGAGTGACTGGGGTTGGCTAGGGAGGGCTCAGGGCAATAGCTAGCCAATATTCAGGGGTCCCTGGATCATGGACCAGTACCCATCTGTGGCCTGTTAGGAACCAGGCCGCACATCAGGAGGTGAGCAGCAGTTCAACCAGCATTACTGCCTGAGCTCCGCCTCCTGTCAGATCAGCGGTGACATTAGATTCTCACAGGAGCTTGAACCCTATTGTGAACTGTGTATGTGAGGGATCTAGGTTGCGCGCTCCTTATGAGAATCTAATGCCCAATGATCTGAGGTGGAACAGTTTCATCCCCTAGTCCATGGAAAAATTGCCTTCCATGAAACTGATCCCTGGTGCCAAAAAGTTTGGGAACCGCTGAATATTTTAACAACTAGCCCAGCTCAGCAGCTGAGCACCAGCCTGGAGCAATTTCAATTTCAGGCATTTCCCATCAGGTTACTTCCAGTGAGCTATCTCCCCTAAGGCCTTGGAGCTTGTGAAATACACACACACACACACACACACACACACACACACACACACACCCCTTTTAAGATGATTAATTCACTTCTTTCTCACTCATTCCCTTTTACAGCTATGCCCTGCTTGTGACTCCACCCTGAGACCTCATTTGAGCCTTGACATCAGCTTCCCCATCGCCTTCCTTCCTCTCCCTTCAGCAATGTTTAATCTGCTTGCTATACCAGGGAGAGGTGTGGGGCACGGAGATGTCAGGCAAGCCAGTGAACATGAAGAACAAACGGTTTGGCGTTTGCCTTATCAGGAAGTGTCCACAGGCTTCCAAGAACTGCAGAGGCTCTGGGAGGGCCAGGGACGGACACGTGGGGCAAGAGACAGGAATGTAGAATTGCAAAGCTGGAAGAAGCCTCAGAATTCAGCTAGTGTGATCTCTCCAGAAACACAAGGTCTTCGCAAAGGCTGATGGAGAAGTTAAGAGTCAACAACAACAATAGTAATAATGAACTGCCACTTATGAGGACCTACGCTGGGCCGTGACCTCATGTCACTTTCAGCCAGGAACTCTGCAAGGCTGGAATCAGCATCTCTTTCACAGATGAGGACACAGCATTCGTTGCTCAAGGACTGAGCGTGGAACTCAGAGGTCAGGGATCTCTTCTGGGCCCTTCTAAATTCTAGTTTTAAAGACCTTGGGTATGTCCTTTCACCTGTGGGAGACCTAGTTTCCCTGTATTGCAAGGAGGGTCATGTTTGTTCTCCCCGATGCACACTTTTGCTGCAAAGGCTAAATGCAACAATGGCTCGGAAAAGAGTTTAGGAGTCGGGCGCAGTGGCTCACACCTGTACTCCCAGCACTTTGGGAGGCAGAGGCGGGCAGATCACTTGAAGTCAGGAGATCAAGACCAGGCTGGTCAAACATGGTGAAACCCCGTCTCTACTAAAAATACAAAAATTAGCCAGGCATGGTGGCATGCACCTGTAATCCCAGCTACTCGGGAGGTTGAGGCAGCAGAATTGCTTGAACCCAGGAGACGGAGGTTGCAGTGAGTTGAGACCGTGCCTCTGCACTCCTGCCTGGGTGACAGAGTGAGGCTCCATCTCAAAAAAAAAAAAAAAAAAAAAAAAAAAAAGAGAGACAGAGAGAGAGTTTAGGGCCAGAAATGCACACAGTGGAGTGACGCTGATTGCTGATTAGGGAGAAGGTATGTATGAAGCACCCAGCAGTTGTTGAAGTGCGGCCATCATGACCACACTGTGCAGCTCTTCTCCCTATAGGTACTGCCAGTTAGGGGCTCATGGTAGCTTTGGTTCATGGCCTCAGCCTGATTGTCTTTGGCTGCTCTCATGGTCCCCCAGCTTTCCCTGTTAAACATGAATCCCCTTTACTCCCTCCGCTCGGCAAAATAGCCCTTCCTCTGTCCCAATCTCTCAGCCTCCAAACCCCTCTGGGTAGTATGCAGTGCTCTCAGGACACTTCACTTTCCAGCTTCATTTTTGTGGATGCTCTAGAGAAGGTGCTCATTCTCCCGGTAGGGCAGAGGCAGAGCAAGCAGCCTGCAAGATATTCTGCTGGAGCATTTGGGGGAATCAGGGGATAGTCTTTCTGGTTGGTGACAGGGGTCCTCCCTCAGCTATGCCCCGTGGGTAGGGGCTGTGTGATTATGGACAAGGCATTGTCTCACTTACCCTCAGATGCTTAGTCTACAAAAGGGGGTTGTTCCCCGGGTGCAGTGGCTCAAGCCTCTAATCCCAGCACTTTGAGAGGCTGTGCCCAGGAGTTCGAGACTAGCCTGGGCAACATGGCAAAACCCCATCCGTACTAAACAAATGCAAAAAATTAGCCGGACGTGGTGGCACATGCCTATAATCCCAACTACTCGGGAGGCTGAGGCACACGGATCACTTGAACCCAGGAGGTGGAGGTTGTAGTGAGCCAGGATCACACCATTGCACTCCAGACTGGGTGACAGAGTGAGACTCGGTCTCCAGATAAATAAATAAATAATAAATAAATAAAATGGGGTTTTTAATACCCACCTCACAGGGCACCGAGCAGATGAGATGATGCAATCTATGTGCTACCCCTGCTGGGACCCTATTACAGGTTGGCTGGGACACTTCCTTCTCATTAGGTGTGAGGGTTCAATTCCCTGCCCCAAGAATGTTTCTTAAAAGGGAGATGCCCAAGAGGGAGAGACCCCAGATCATGGGTCCCAGGTGTGCCCCCTCCTCCACTCCCACCCTGAGCTCCGCGACTCCAGGTTACTCACTGGATTTTCTTTGTGAAGTTCTTAGAAACGATGCCACCTTCTTGCTGTTTCTCTTCGTGTTTGCCTGGAAGGAAGAAAAGTGTGGTGTGTCAGCATCTATGATCCTTGGGCATCCTTCAGGACTCAGGCTTGGGTTCAAATCCTGGACCTGAACCTGCCTTGCTGTGTGGCTTAGGTCTACCCTAGAGACTCTAGTTCTCTAAGCCTCAAGGACCTTGTCTGCCATACAGACCCACTTAAGTCCACCTCCAAGGCTGGCTATGAAGGTGAAATAAGGAAATTGATGGAAAGGAGGCGTTGACCGTGGTTTGTAGGTAATGAAGGGTGAGTCTGAGGAAATCACAGAAGCTGGGCCATGTGTTGTACCAAACCTTCCCAGTCTCCCACCTGACTCCTCTTCTCTAACCTGCCAGTAGAACCCTGGGGCTGACATCCCAGACTGGGTGGCAGGCTTGAAGTGGGGTCACGTGCTGAGGGCAACTCTGCCACGTAGCTTGCTTTATAGTCAACAGAGTGCTTTCCTAACTCTGAGCCCAGACGTCGTTCTCCCTTTGATTCCTGACATGGAAACTGAGGCCTGGTGATGGATCCGGGGTCGCCCAGCAGGTCCGTGGTGGCTCTGAGCTTCGAATCAGCTCTCTCTGAGTCTAGGCCAAGTTCTAGGGCCTGACGCCCCTCTGCTCTTGAATTTCTGTCTGTTCCAGCTCTCGCTTAGCAATGTAGCCACATTATCTGTAGCCAGTAGTGAAAGCACAGCCTGGAAAAAGAATGCTTCAATCTACCAAAAACGCCCAGCTTCTCCTAAGAGCACTGTGGATGTGAAATTCCACCAGCCCTCCTGCCTCTTACCCTGTGGGACGAGAGGGCTTCCCAACCCCCTTAGGGAGGAGAAAGATGAAATTACGAGAAGGCTTGGGCCTAAACTGGTTTTGATCTAGTAACGTATATAGCACCTTCTAATTCTCTCAGTCTCTCCTCATTCTGTTTTTCTTTAATAAAGAGGGTGGCTCTAGTTTCTCTTTAAACAAACAAGATTAGTACAACGGTGGGGCCATTCGGCTGTTACTTTTCAGTCCTCATTTGTGGGGCCACCTTCTGGAGACAAGAACTCTCATTTACACAGGGAGGTGCTTCTGAGAGGCCTTGAAATCTAGAATGTAAATAACTTGGTTGAATATAGCAGTCCAGATTTTTTTTAAACTGACAACTTATAGCTAATAACTTTTAATTATTTCTTTGTTGATAGCTTTTTTTGTGCTTTAAGATAATGCATGTGTATGTTAGAAAACGTAGAAAATAGGCGGGGCATGGTGGCTCACTCCTATAATGTCTGCACTTTGGGAGACAGGAGGATCACTCGAGGCCAGGAGTTTGAGACCAGCCTGGACAACATAGAGAGGCGCTGTTTCTAAAAAATAATAATAATAGGCAGGGCATGGTGGCTTATGCCTGTAATCCTAGCACTTTGGGAGGCTGAAGCAGGTGAATCACGAGGTCAAGAGATCGAGGTCATCCTGGCCAACATGGTGAAACTCCGTCTCTACTAAAAATACAAAAATTAGCTGGACGTGGTGGCACATGCCTATAGTCCCAGCTACTTGGGAGGCTGAGGCAGGAGAATTGCTTGAACCTGGGAGGTGGAGGTTGCAGTGAGGTGAGATCGTGCTACTGCACTCCAGCCCGGTGACAGGGCGAGACTCTGTCTCAAAATAGTAATAATAATAATAATAGTAATTAATATTATTATTATTATCAGGTGTGATGGTGTGTGCCTGTAGTCCCAGCTATTTGGGAGGCTGAAGTGGGAAGATTGCTTGAGCCCAGGAGTCTGAGGTTACAGTAAGCTATAATGCACTACTGCACTCCAGCCTGGGCAAGAGAGTGAGATCTGGTCTCTAAATTTAACAACAACAACAACAACAACAACAAAAGAAAAAATTAAAAAAAAAAAAAAAGCCATCAAAACTACCCATAATCCTGTCACCCCAAGGAAGCTACTAATAATATATTTTATATGTTCTGACTTTTCTATGTTTCTCAGAAATGTGTAAATGTTATATAGTATCCATGTATATCAGTATTCTATCAAATGGGATAGTTCTCTGCATTATGTTTGGAACTTATTTTTTCTCTTGCTAACACATTATAATTACTTTTCCATATTACCAAATATTCTTTGACAACATAATTTTTAATGGCTGCAGTGTTCTATTGAGGAATACATAAGAGCTAATTTAACCAATCCCCTACTTTGGGGCACTGAGGAGTTTCCAACATTGGAGAGAACTTCACGGCCCTGAACATTCTTGTAGCTTTACACCAGGCCCTGTGACTTCTTTAGGATTAACTGAAGACTAATCCAACTTCCAGAATTTCTAAGGCTTAATCTGTATTGCTAAATTGCTCTCAGGAAAAGAAATTCATTTTAAACTGGAGTGTCTGGCTAAGCAGAACATGCTATTCTGTGAATGTGTGGCTGCTTAAACAATCTATCCTGTGCTGCCAACTCCGTGACCACCAGCTGCCTGGCTCTAACACAGGCCTGTGCCCGGAAGAGCACTGTCTGTTCTTTGGTACCCTCCACATAGCCAGGGCGCCGGGAGACCTGCTTCCCCTGGGGACAGGCCAGTGCCTCTGACTCAGCCCTTTTGCATCCGAGAATCCTCCTGCAAGCTGGTGTCCTGGGAAGAATAACTGATGATATAAATAATAATAGCAAAGTAATATAGTGCTTCCTTGGTGTCAGCCACTGTTCTAAGCACCTTATCTATGTCAACTCCTTTAATTTTTGCAACAACCTTAAATAATAATAGTAAAATGATAATATAAGCAGGCAGTTGCATTATTATCATTTTGTAGATAGGAAACCTGAAGTTCAGAGAGGTTAAGTGCTGTACCCAAGGTCACACAGCTTGGAAGTGACTGGTGCAAAGATTCAAAAGCAGGCAGATAAGTTCTGGAATAGTGGGTTTTGGACTTAAGTCTCTACTCTGACATTGCCTGGCTCATCTCTGAGTGTCTCTGAGCCTCAGTTTACTCTTCTCTGAAATGGGAGTGACAGCACCTACCTTATTGGGGTTACTGTAGGAAGCAAATGCAAGCGAGTCACAGAATGGCTCTGAAGTTGTAAAAGTACCATGTGAAGGTAAACGCTTGTGGTTTATTTTGATGTTTGGGGAAAGGACTGCTTCTCAGAAACTAGGTGCCTCTGTCTGCTCTGAAAATAGGGTATTGGACTGAGGGAAGGGAGGATCTCTGAGCAGGGAAAGCTCCAAGATCTCCACAAGAGGGGCCTGGAGGTGGAGTTAACCTGGTCGAGAGAGAGTGTTGTTAGGAGGATCATCCTGAAACTCAATTTGCTTGTCATTTGCATACTTCCATTGGGGCAGCTTAAGGATTATGAGTGATTTTTCATTTCTTATTTTGCTTTCCTAACTACATATTCTATCATGAAGACATTTTATTTTTGTCAACAGAAAAAAGTAATTAAAAATACATCCAGAGGCTAGAAGTCAGAGACCCTTTGCAGACATGCTTTTTTTCAACATGCCTCAGAGAAATGTAAGTGGAACACTATTGGCCCAGCTAAAGAAAGAAGGTGCTGTTTCCAGGGAAGACAAAGGCCCTGGGACTAAGGAGAAGGGGTGGCAATAAGGCCTTGGGCTTTCCAGTCTCTATCTTAGCCAGGGTCTGGCCCAGTGGCCCATGAAGGGAACATCTCTTGGCTGGCGGTTGCAGGATGCGGGCAGGGGAATTTGAGGCTTGCTGGAAATTGTCTAGTCCAACATGTTCCAAACACTTCCTTGAATGAGACACTCATACGTGGTCAGATAAGACAGGGCTGCCTCTCAGAGATTTATAAACTACATTAGTGACTTAAAGGCTCTGACAAGTCCTGCAATGAGAAGACCTGTTTATAATTTTGTTTTTACTGGTACCATATAAGACTCTGAACTCTCCTACTCCTGTTTCTAAATGCCTAGTAACCACTTGAAGTGCTTTGGTAAATTCTGATCTTGTCTACCTCTTCATAAGACCAACAGTAAAACTGAGGCTCCAGAGGCTGTGGGATTTGCTCAGGGTCACACCGCCAGAAGTAGATCCAGCCATCCTGGCTCAGAACCAGTCAGAGAGGCCTGACATTGAATCTCAGACACTGCCAGGGAGAAGTGGGTGATCTCAGGTGAGTTACTTTCTCTGGGCCTCGGTTTCCTTATCTGCATAATGGGGTTAACCTACCCACACTTCCTAGGAGGTCCTTATGAGGAACCACTGAGCCACCACATGTAGGCCTTTAGCACATACTTGTGGAGGAATGGATTTGTCATTATGTGGTACAGGGTGGGAAAGTGGATCTGACTTCCAACTTCCCTTGAAAATTGCTTTTTATTTATTTTTATTTTTTATATCTTTTGAGACAGAATTTCTTTCTTGTTGCCCAGGCTGGAATGCAGTGGCATGGTCTCGGCTCATTGCAACCTCCACCTCCTGGGTTCAAGCGATTCTCCTGCCTCAGACTCCTGAGTAGCTGAGATTACAGGTGCCTGCCACCATGCCCAGCTGATTTTTGTGTTTTTAGTAGAACAGGGTTTCACCATGTTGGCCAGGCTGGTCTCAAACTCCTGACCTCAAGTGATCCTCCCGCCTTGGCCTCCCAAAGTGCTACGATTACAGGCATGAGCCACCGCACTCGACCCGAAAGTTGCTTCTTAAATAGAGCGCCTGATATCAATTTTATTTTTTTAAACTCTTTCTTTGAAAGCACTTGTATGGACTCTCAGGGAATTTGGATTCTGTCCAGCCGATGTCACTAATTGTACATCTGAAAAGCTTTGTCTTAGTCTTATGTAAGCTCCCAATGACCGCATTTTACAGATGCGGAAACTGAGACTGCATGACTCACCCAAAGCCTCTGGATTAGTAAAATACTTAGCTGAGATCTCAACATGGAGCTGCCAGACCCCACCTGTTATGAAGCACCTACAAAAGAGGATGGTGAAAAGCCCTCCAGGCTGGACAGAGGGTCTCCTAGAGAGGCCACAGGGTAGGGAAGACCCTTGGACT